CTTCTCCAACACCACAATTCATAAGCATCACCTCTTCTTTGGTCTTCCTTATTATTGCCCTGCTGTCACATGCATATGAGCTGAGTGAACATACCACGGCTTGGGCGAGGAACCCACTTCTCATCAAAGGGACTTCTTTGCTCCTTAAAACTTTAAAAAGGTGATTTGCACCCCATTTTCCCAGTGTGTGGAGAAATCTAATTTCTTGAAAGCTGCTTCCATGTCTATTGATTGTGGATTCAATCAAAGGAAATTCTTGATGGCTTCAATTGTTTTCTCCATTGATCGTGTCACTGCTTAGTGGCCCAGTGATGATGCTCTTAGTATTCTTCAGGTTGAAGAGTAATCCAGACTGCAGACTGTAATCTTTATTCTTCATCAGTAGATGCTTAAAGTCATCTTCTCTTTCAGCAAACATGATCATGACATACACATATTGCAGGTTTAACGGCTCTGCATATGCATGGAACAAGACTGGTCAAAGCGTACAAGCTGGACGCACAGCCTTCCTGATTGGAAATCATGTAGCACCATCTCTTTGTTCGGTTCGAAGAACATGGACGGATACGGAAGTTGAAACACAAGGCTGACGCAAAGCACCAATTATGAGAATGGAAAAAGGTGCAGTAGGAATTAGTTCTATTATCCAGAGACATGTCATGATTTGGAATGGATTGAACAACACCCAAACAAAACGGTTGGCAAAATGCTAACACGTTAATGTCCCTGCTTTTATAAACCGAAAATGAGACAAATGAAAATCAAAGGGATCGACATTCTTTGTGAAATATTTCTTTAGATCCAATGAGCCACTGCCCGCCTATTTCATGCAACTCAGAAGGAATTTTGAAAAAGCTAACTGTGATGACAACAATGCAGAGTAACAACTCGGCTGTTGGGTGATTGTGTCCATAAAGGCAGTGAAATGGATCTAGGCTCACACATCTTCCCACACCTTCAACTGGAAAAGACACAAAACCCACCCGAACTCTCGCCACCATGGTTCCAAATGACTGACCCTAACAGACACCCCAATTAGCACAGATGTGTGACCTCTGACTTGCATATAGGTGTTGATCACACCCACCCGTGTCAACCCTCTCCCGCCTTCATGGTCCTTACAGGCTTTAAGATGTTCCCACTTGACCTGAAGGGAAAGGTCTCAGAGAGAGAAAGGATCCAAGAAGCCAGAAGTTCATTTTGAATTGCTTTATTTGTGAAACAAAGAAAAACACAAAAGTTTCTGCTGAGATCTCTCCCTCAGCAGATACAAAACTCCCCCAAAGTGACCGAAGAGTGCATGGGTACCGTCTGTGCGATGACGGGATGTGGTGGACATACTTCCTTTCTGTCCACTGTCTGGGTCTGGCCAATAGTCTCAAGGAAACCCACATTGAAAAGGCAGTTAGCGTGGGTGAGAGCCACACACGTTGTAGCGTCCCTTCATGAATGGATAGGGAGTGGGATGCGTAGGCCACTAGTTTCCATTGCCAAGGGCCACTCTCTCTCTGCATGAAACCCAAAACACTCAACTCGCTGTCAAAAGCCAAAGCTCAGTATCCTGAAATCCCGTTCTCTGTCCTCCAAAGATCCCCTCCTTCTTCCCAGGGCAACTTGTTTTCTGGCCTGTCTTGCCATCCTGTACAAAGGGAGAGCAGTGGAAACGTGTTTCAGCAGACCCCTGTTCCTTGCCTGGACTCCATTCCTAATCCTGGCCGTTGCAGTCTGCCTGGAGGGACAGGATGGACGGGGGGCTCTCCTGTTGGTCATGACCTCGCTGTTGATCAATTCGATTCCATGAATGGCTCCAGTGTGGGCTGCCCGTGGTGTCCCGAGAGGAACGACATAGCCTGCAGTCGCTCAGGCCCCCAGAGGCGTTCAGGCCCAGGGGCAGGGCTGCCCAGTGTGTGTCAGAACGTTTGCCCTCCCGCTCACTTTCCCAGGGGTGCAGACTTCTCCCTGCCTCCCTCTTCTCCCCAACACCAAGTCTTCCTTGTTCATCCCTCCCAAGGAGGCACTGGTGAGTTTTGCAGCAAGCCTTGAAGCACAGCCTGAAAGTGCTCACTGTGCACTGGGAATTGATGGACTGGTGGGCCCTGTGCCACTACATCTGGATTTCGAGAGCCGGGGCCCTTTGGCTGACAATCGGCACTGCAGATTTCCTCTAGAAGTCTGAGGCTTTACAGAGAGTCTTGGTCAAACAGAGGAGAAGACTGCTCAAGTGCTGGTGCCTGCTATGGCCAGAGATGGGTGTTGGGGTGTCCGGCCTGACTCAGGGGCTCGTGAGGAGATTGTCGTGGGGCAATCGCTGCCTGGTGCTCCTCAAGGCCCTTTGGAAGAAAGGGAGCTGTGTGTTCTGGAGCCAGCTCCTGCGAAGTCTCCTCTCCATTCTCACTCTGACAAGAGTCTCGGCCACCCTTTCCTGCCGTGCCAGAATTTTTCTTGCTTCCCTGACTTTCTCCTTGGTCCTGGTGCCTAGGAGGGAGGCAAGCATCCGAGAACCGCTTGGTCACTGTCGTTGCCGGTGCCAGTGCATTCACACCTGTCACCAGGACGATGGAAACCTCTATTCTCTGAACGGCCAGGGACAGTTGGGCCATCACGACCCCTGCGGCCTGGCTGACTCCCACCTGCCTGGCCTGGGGCAGAAGACCAGCTGCGTGGGCCAGCAGGAAGACAGGGAGCAGAATGGTTGGATTCTTACCCCAAACCTGAGAGGTTGGCCAAGGAGGAGACAGGCCCACCCCAGCAGACGCAGTGCTTTGGTCTCCTCCAACAAGCACCTCAGGCCTCTGAGGGGAGCTGCTGGCCCCGCAATCCCTGGGTATCCTGTCCTTCGCCTGGCAAGCTCTTCGGTTCTGAAACCAGCTGTGGATTCGTGACCCAGGGATGCCTGTTTGTCGAGCCAGTTCCTCTCTGGTCTGGATCCCTGGCCACCGGTTCTCCTGGAAGGCCTCCACCAGCACACTGGCTTGCCATCTGCTGATGGATGTCCGCTTCCGTCTGGCCGCCTTGGGGACTCTTCCTGGACACCGAGGGGGAAGCTGCTCCCCAGCCGCTGATGCTGAGGCAGCCGCAGAGGCCGGCCGGCTCTTCCTCAGGTGTCTTCTTCTGTGGTTCTGGAACCAAACCTGGACCCTCGACTCTTCAATGCCAATCTCTTGGGCCAGTTCTTCTCTGGTTGTTATACCCAGGTAGGGGTTCTGTTCAAACGATGCTTGCAGGACACGGAGCTGGTTTTGGCTCAAAACCATTCTCTTTCTTCGGCCCTGGGATCTCTGCGAGCCGCTGGAAGGGATGGTCACATCCATAGCTACCACATTCCTTCCCCTGCAGGTCCCGGGAGGAAAGTGGTCACTGCAGCAGGGGATTCAGCCAGACCCAGAATGCTTTGCTTCACACCCGGAAGGTCCCTCCCAGGTCCCATCGCTTAAATACCTTTCCCTTGTGTTCCCTCATTAAGCATGCAAGATCCTATCGCTCAACCTGCTTGGGGAGATGACTCATCAGAGGGGGTCGATGCACCAGCTGGGGTGTGCCAACCATCATTGGACTCTCCCAAGTATCGTCTTCCTTCTGTGGTGTCTCCCTGATGCCCATTTCAACATGTTCAGCTCTCGTCTCTGCACCTTTGCTGATTGCTACACTGAGATGTTTGGCCAGATTGGGCAACCCTTGCCGAAACCTATGAAATCTAGTGATATCATTCTATTTGTTGCCATCCAACTATCCTAAAAAACCCCCACAGTGCACTGAGTAGATTTGGCCCACAGCCACTGTATACAACACAGTAGAAGGGCCCCATAGGATTTCCCAGGCTGGAATCTTCATAGAGAAGCTATGGAGGTGTAATGCCCAAGGTGTTTGACTGCTAACCCAAAGGCTGGTGCTTCCAAGCCAGCAGCTACTCCTCATGAGGAAGACTGGGCAAGCCACTACTGCAGAGATGAAGGCTTCGGAAATCCAAGATGGTGTTGCTGTGAGTAGGAATCGACACCATGGCACTGAGTTCAGTTTTTGTTTTTCTTCATCCTTATGAACAACTTTAATTGGTTCAATAGCAAACAGGTCACTTTGAAGGCAAAGCTGTGACTCATCCATATCATATCTCATTTTTCCTCAATGAAATTGCACTGTAAGAATTTTAAAGGTGGGCATTGAGAAAGGAAGGCCAAAATAAACTAACTAACTAACTAACTAACTAACAAACAAACAATTCCTAAATTGTGGTTTTGCTGTTGTTGTGACTTTTGGTGCCATCCGTTTGGCTCCGACTCCCAGCAAGGAGAAGAATGACTGTCAGGTTGGTCAACATCCTCACAATCCTTTTACTTGACCACATCCCAGCACCTGCTTTGTCAATCCATTCTCTTGAGGGTCTTCCCGTTTTTTCACTGACCCTCCCACATCCCGAGACTGATATCATTCTCCAGGAAATGGCCTCCAATGAAAACATGATGAAAGAATTTGAGACCAAGCCTGGCCGTTCTCGCTGACAAGGAGCATTAAGGCTGCATTTCTCCTGGGGCCGACTGGGTCGTTGTTTGGCCCTCAGTGGAATTTCCAGTATTCTTCACCAACAAGGCAGCAACTCCTCTTCGGTTTTTCTTTCTTCATTGTCCATCTCTCACATGCATATGAAATGCATCAATATGCCATGGCGTGGACTGGGACCACACTAGTCTTCAACGTGACATCTTTGCTCTTCCACACCTTCAGGAGGTCTTTTGCAGCAGGTTTGCCCCGTGCAAGAACATCTCGTGTCCTGACTGCTGCTTCCATGTCTATTGATAGTGGATCCAATCCAAAGGAATCCTTGACGGCTTCCATGGATTTCTCCATTGATCATGACGCTGCTTATTGGTCCAGGGCTGAGGTTCTTAGTTTTCTTTCGGTTGAGGTGCAATCCACCCTGCAGACTGTAGTCTTTCTTCTTCATCAGTAGGTTTGGCAATTTGTCTTCTCTTTCAACAAACAAGACGATGACATGTGCAGATTGCAGTTGATTGGCTCAGCACACACATGGAATAAGTAGGGTGAAAGCATCCAAGCCTGATGCACAGCCTTCCTGATTGGAAACCACGCATCCTCCCTGGGCTCTGTTCAAAGAAGATGG